ATATGAATTATCTATGAATATTCTATATCTCCCCAAAACAGGCGTGGTTTGAGAAACATCTGTATTTACAAAGTGCAACCTATAGCTACAACGCGGATTAATATTCATATATCGCTGTAACTTGTTTCCGCCTGATATGCATGTAAGAGTTGCCACTGGACGTTAAACACCAAACCATTATCATCAACAACAAAGAAATATCGATATACTATGAAAAGCTCTAAATTACACACATTCGAAAAGTTGGAATTAATTTATCAGAGGCTATAACAAGCAGAGATCAACACGAAATTCCCTGTGATATATATATTTTTTTATTTATTTATAACTTTTTAGACTTGGTGCTATTTTGCATAGACACCTGTAATAACAAAAGACTGTAGGTTTAACTCTAGATGTCTTTCGTTATGTGCGTCGTTAGGTTGCTGTATCAGTGGTGTGTACGGCTTTCGACGATAGACAATAAACCACTATCCCAAAAAGATATGCATATCTAACAGTGTTATTTGGTGTAACCGCCAATGTTTAATCATTCCAATCTAAACATGAAAAAAACAAAATCGACTGACTATAATCTCTATATACTAGTCAACAAAAGAAACGATACACAAATCTGAACTCCTATATGATTCAGTTCGAAAGTGAGACAATATCAAGGTATTGAAGATAAGTATTAAATTTAATTTGCAGGAAAAGATGATAAAAGTTGATGACACCCAGTTTCTAAGATAAGAAATCAGTATTAATCTATCGTTTTTTTTTTAAATTATGGATAAAATTACGATTGAACACTAAGTGGGAATTTAGCTTGTACCATGTATACAATTTCATGTGACAGGGTAGGCAAGAAATTTATGGCAAGTAGGGAAATAGGAACACAACTATATTTTTTACCTGTAAAAAATCCCCCATAATATATGCGAAGCAGACGACAAAACCACATATACAAGTAAAACAGTATAAAGCAATACCGTATCAAAAAAAATTGTTAGCACTTACTTCCATAACCCGAATAATTCAGTCCCTCCCCGTGATCGACTCTCCCACTCTCGAGGGTAGCCATCGTAGAGCAGTGAAATATAACGACTGAATTATTCGGGTTATTACTTCCAATAATTAAACTAAAACCAGATACATTGTGTAAACACCATAATACCGACTATCACTCCAGGGGCGTGTTTTTTTGTTCTTCTGTAGTGAGCCAGATGAGGTCCATTTCTTTTTTTTTTTTTTTTGCATTGGGAAGATCTTCTGTCTATTTTTTACCTCCTCCTTTTAAATAGGTAGATTAGACGGTAGAGGCACATAACAAACATGGCGTCGTTTAGTCTAAATGACATTAATAAATTGATGAATGCAGATATAATAGAAAGTGAGCTGTGTGCTAAACGTTCCTTTATGGTATGGCAGCCTTAGTGGGACGTCATTGTAGGGACGATAAGCTCATTATATAAGACCTACAATAACAGTAAGGGTACGACTATTTGATATTCTGGGGAGGGAAGGGGTCAGGAGGATTTTTTGCAGATTTATTATTCATTTTAATCTGTCGCTAAGGATGCCTATTTTGTTCATCTCTTACCAGACCACCATATTCATATTCAAAATCCTCACGTCCCCACCCCACCCCCCAAAAAATAAATATCAAATGGTTTTCCCCTTGTTTTACACGAGTTTACATTGATTGATTGCTGATTGCTTATTTTTAACGTCAAGTGACAAATATTTCATGCATGTTTAGGAAAACACGAGTTTGAAAATCAGGTATATTATATAAAAATAATGAGATCTGGTATGATTGCCAATTAGTCAACTATCCACCAGAGTTCAAATGAAGTGGATGTAAGCAATGATTATAGACAACCATGCGGCCTTCAACAATGCCAAAAATCCATACCGTATAGTCGGCTTTACAAGGCCTTGACATGAAAAATGTGAAACAATTCAAACGAAAAAACTAACGGCTTATTATATTTTACAAAACAATTTACAAAAAATCAAAAAAAGACAAAAGACATAAAGCAACAAAATAAGAGTATTTGCAGCTACTGAAAGCTTGTTCAAAGCCAATTACTACTAACAAATAGATCATGTTCTCCCAGACTAAAGTAATAATCAGTACACAACCAACGGGTTTAGTTAAGTTTGAGAAACGCCATGACCTTATATACATATACAATTAAGGTTCTCGAAAATTGGTGGTCCGAAGATTTAGACCATCGAAATTTTGCAAGGACCGGCACAGATATGGTATTTTGCAATACATGTAGAAATAATAGTAAGGATCACCAGGGAAAAAAAGATTTTGATAACTCTGCGATATCTTTTATATACAAAAAATTTAATCCAGTTTGGTTACATGTTCCATAGACAAGATGTCCTTTTCGATCATATACCAGACAAATCATTGACAAATTATTGTACAGTTTAAGATTATTCCTGAAAATCAAATAGCCGGGGCTTTAAGCTGGATTTTTTTAGCTTAATTAAGTTAGGAAAGCATAAAGGAAAAATGTCACGAACACAGCGATTTCTTCCAACCAATTTTCTTTGATTTTACACTTATTATATAATTATATCAATGCCAAAACAGAAAAGACTATTGCAGTCATGTATACCTAATGGACTGACGTAACTATTTTTTTTAATAAATCATCGCGAACTTCATTAATGTCATTCAACATAAAAAAAATCTGCTGTATTCGACGGCAAATTGAATTTGTGTTTTATTGCTTCTTCTACAGAATATATATCCAGAAGAGGTCCAGATTCATTTTTTGGACTCTTCACAGAAGACATTCTGGAGATATACAGAAGAGACAATTAAAACACGCCCAGCAGATACAATATGATTTGTGTCCCTGATTTTCATTCAAATCAATTGTTTTCAATATCGTGTACAGTAGATTTTTGTCTGTAGTCCGATTGCCATTGATACACAATAAATTTTGCCCTCGTATTCAGCAGATCTGTGTTACCTTTTGCATGTGTAGTTCCGATATCCAGTTTGTTCTAATGTATACAAAAATTCTTTTTTTCGTCTGTAAAATATAGTCCTTCCATTTGTTTAATATGAATTGATAGTTCCCAGGACAATCCGTTGAGCGGTGTGCTTGGAAGCTTAGTTGTTGGAAATTGGTAGGTTTCGTGAAATTGTATCATGCTTAAGAATTTTGTGTATGAATGGAAAGAGCTTTATATTATGTGTGAATCATACTTTTTCACTCAAATTTGTATATCAATATATAGCAAAGGGTTACAGCTTATACTAATGCATTTGTTTGTTTCGATAAATAATGAAAGTGAGCCTATATGCATTGGTTATTTAAGTAAGATAGCTTTAAAGTTATTTGTTTTCCGTTTCAAAATAATTGTTGGTCAGTGTGGTTACCGTAATAAACAAACTATTGACTTTATACCGCATTGATTGAATAATTACTTTTCTACTGTTCTCAACTAAACAGTTATTCTACAGCAAAAGTTTTTGAAGGCAATTTTCTATGATAGCAGATAAAACCATTTGAGAATACTTGCAGAAACTGCGGGCATTCTTTGATACGGTAACATTAATTTGTATTGTGTTACTCGTACCTGTGTTTTCGTAGTCTATTATACCTTATATAATTCTCATTCTATATCTGTTATGCAGTAGACCAATATAACATCTTTAGACAAAGTGGTCTGACTTAACTAAGATAATACTTCTCATTCTGTATTACAGCAAACTAATGCAACTCATTTAAACAAGGTACGTTTTTCCCCGCATAGCACTCTTAATTTTGATATTCCCTACAGCAAACCAATATAACTCATTTCGATAATGTGTTGTTCGGTCACTCGTTGAATATTTTTCTATATTTGAATTCATCGATTAGTTATTCTATAATTATAAAATCTATAACTACAAAAAGTGGCAGAAGATAACAAAGGGTCAATCAAAATTCATATTTGGAAATGAAACCGACAAAACCATGACAAAACACGAAAAATGACTAAAATACAAACAGCAGTCTACAAAACTCTACAACGAATCTGATGGCTGAGAAAAAACCGGGGATGATCTTCGGCGGGTAAGGGTAATTGGATCCTGCTACGCTAGTGGTATCCGTCGTGTTAAACAAAGTAAGTACACATTATGCAATAATGCTAATTCGGTGATGTCACAATCGAGTATGCTGCATGTATATTTCCATGATTTCATAAAATACAATATATGTACTTTGTCGGAAAAATTTAACTAAACCATGACGAAACACGAAAAATGACAAATAGACAAACACCAGTCTACAAAACTCAACAGAGAAAACTTATGACTGAGCAACACGAACCTTACAAAAACTGGGGATGACCTTAGGTTGGTAAGGGTAAGCAGATCCCCTTTAGGTAAAAATTATTATTCGGTAACAAATGTAACTTGAAAATTTGACTGCAGTTCATTTTTGTTTGAAAAAGACAAGAAAACTGATTAAGTACAGGGATGATTTATTTATTTTCATTGGCACTTTGGATTGGTTCTGATTACTGGGTTCCTCAATATTGAGCTGAAATAGAAAATAATATGCGTAAAGATATATACGTAGTAAAAGCAGGTGCAAGTTAAATTGGTATTTTTTTTCAATATTCATTTATATTTTACAATCCAAATGACCTGATTAAACTCCAACAATATGCTTTAAATGCCATTTTTTAAAATTTTATTTCTATTTTTTATAGGCCCGTATAAATAAAATAATTATGGAATGTCTCTAATAAATTAATGGAAATCAATGTCGTCTTGTTTTGTTTAAGGAAATTGAGCTTAGCCAACAAAATATTCATGATACTATATTATTGATATTAGTGTTCATGTAACACATACTAACCATATTTTCCTTTACCACCGAATCCTCTACCAAATCCACCACCAATACCCTGTCCTTTTCCAAATCCGATTTGTCCAATTCCTTATCCACCTCCAATACCGTGTCCTAGTCCACCTCCAATACCGAATCCTTGTCCACCTCCAATACCGTATCCCTGTCCACCTCCGATACCGTATCCTTGTCCACCGAATCCTTGTCCACCTCCGATACCGTATCCTTTTCCAAATCCGATGTTTCCACTTCCATATCCACCATATCCTAAGTCAAGCCCGTGTCCCCCATATCCGAAATCTAGTCCGGATCCACTATGTCCATAACCACCATAGTTCTTTCCGTATCCACCGATTTGAATACCGGACCCATATCCGCCGCCATATCCACCTCCATATCCCATTCCGAAAGCCATTGAGGCACAGAGAGCAAGAGCGACGAATCTAAGCATGGTGGTTGTTCTGAAAATATACATAAAAGAATTTTACTATGTGTTCTTCTGTGTTCCTTTTATTGTTCCAATGATCGAAATTAAATTGAAGAAGGGGAAAGGGGGAGATGTCTTTGGTTATATCTAAATGATATTTTTTTTTGTTGCTGTTTATTTATTTTTATTATTGTGTACTCTATTTTATTTCATATTAAGTTGTTTATTTAATTTTCCTGAACAGAAATCGGTATTAATGACAGGCCATTAGTGTAGGAAATTTTTTATTTATTATTTTTGGCTGAAGTCGTGCACAATTTTACAATATCAGAATTATGGTTTTATCGTTAAAAACGAGTATTCAACTTTTTTAAGAGCAACATGCTAATTATAAGAAATTATTTTACAATCACATATAGAACAATTTCATTTTTGAAGTTCGACTTTCTAGTAAAGTTGGAATGAGAACCAGGATAAATTAATGTTTTATTCGTTATATTTATAATAACATGATCATTTGTATGGACAACTTTAAAATACAAGTAACATAAAAAGTTCAAGAAAAAAAATCTTGTACGGTTTCAAACGACAACCTTAATATTACAAAGTACTTACTTTGGTGGAGTGTTGAGATGTTCTGTCCAATGAAGGTTTTCGCCTGGGTTATAGACTGTAACCCATGATTGTCTACACCCATTGATGCATGTAGCCATATTTCATGTAGCTATCAAGGTGGACAACAAGGGTTGTCAATTATGCAATACTGACACATGCATACATATGTAACTGACGTAACAAGCGAAGGATGGATACAGGATCTCTGTTTTTGTCATTTTAGTATTTTTAATTTCATATATACTAGACGACAAAAGAAACTATACACAAGTTTGAACTCTTATTTTACATCAAATATGATAAAATGGAAAAAATGTTAAATTATCTAATGAAAACATTATTGTACTAAGCAATGGCATATGACTCTCATAAAATCTAACCAAATAAAAAAGTGAGAAAATATCGTGTTAATGAACACAGGGGTCATATTTATTTTTCGGGAAAACGAAGGCACGAATCCGCACTAAATTTGAAAAATGAGAATTTAGTTTTCAGATATCTACGAAGGGACTCAAAATTCTAATCTATTACAAGGTTAACGGTTGGGAATTATTTGTTCTCGCTTCGAAACAGGAGAAAAGCTCGGCGAGTCGCGCTTGTCTTCCCGTTTCTAAATTTCATACAAATAAATTTTGTATTTTCCTCAACTGTACATACATGTATATTGTTTGTATATATATAAAAGGGATTACTGGTAATTCAAAAGTTGATGCAATGTTTATTTACAAACACGGAAAATGTGATAGGATGAATAAGATTTTATTATGGTTGTGATATTCTGTTAAAACATACTCTTCGAAATAACGCAAACCTTTCTGTTAAAACGCAAACCTTTGCGAAATAACGCAAACCAATGTGTTATAACGCAAACCTTTGCGAAATAACGCAAACCATTGCGTTATAATGCAAACATTTGCGAAATAACGCAAACATTTTGATTTCAATTAATCATTAAAGTTTTGTATATGTTATGATCAAAAACTATATTGGATTTACATTTTACATTTATGATATGATTTGAAAGCAGTGTTTTTGTAAATGTCGGCATTTGCATGTCCATCTGTCATTAAATTTCGGTTGTGATTTAGTTAAAAGAAGGACCATGAACACAAGGCCAAACAATTATAATAAATATGCATAGTCGGGTTGTTGTCTTTTTGACACATTCCCCATTTCCATTCTCAATTTTATAGGAATAAATGAATACTTGTAGTGCAATTATACACAAATTAAGAATGGTTTTGTATTAGAAAATTATATAAATTTAACAAGAAAATAAATATGGTATACATGGTATAGGTAATTTTAATTGAAAGGCCAAGATTTTTAAATTTTTAATTAACGGAAAGTAGTAAAGAAGCAAAAATAATGTCATACAATTGAGAAACTATAAAGTCAAATAGACAAAATGATCTTTCTGCTTACAAATGAATTATTCAGAAAAAACATTTTTTTTTAATTTTGATGTAAGAAATCGTTTGTTGAAATCCCAGAATATGATAAAGATTCTTTGATAAAAAGTCATGGAATTTTAATTTCAATCTAGTGAGGTAGCTATTTAAGATGCTTTAGTAGCAATTTGAATGAAGAGAACATAATTATAATAATAAAACATCTTCATATCTTATAAATTCATTGCAAAAGGGTAGCTTGCTTGGATCCAACCAATCTTACACAATGCTCAAACGTGCGCTTAAAAATTGTGTGGCGTTAATACGCTTCCGTAAAAACATGTACATGAACCACATCTATTGATCATGCATTATCGTCAGTTTTCGAAGATTCCCAATGATAAATACCAAATTAAATTGTGAATTTACGGTCATTTTTAATAGTTTAGTAGACTATACGCCAGACGATGATTTGATAATAACGTAGGTTAAATACTGTTCTAGACTCAAGCTTGGTATAATGATTAAATTGCTGATATTGTCTTTTTATGGTTTTTCTGCTTATTTTTTCTTTGTTTTTGTTGGTAAAACTTGGATTTTCTCATTGTTAAATGACAGTGACCCATAGTTGCTTATATCCACGTCATTTGAACTCTGGTGGATAGTTGTCTAATGAATTGGCAAGCATACCACATCTCCTTGTTTTTATATTAATCAGCATAACATTGCACGTAGAAAAACAAAAGGTTTTGGGCGTACGAAGATGATTGAAACTCTTTTCAGACAGCATTTTTTAATCATCATATATTTTAATTCATTTATAATTTTCAGTATTCCAATATGTTAAAACTTATCCTGTTGAGTGTATGTAACGCAATGGCCTGTGCTTTCTATGACAAAGGTTATAATGGACACGGACCAGGATTTGGGGGTCACGGAGGTTACAGTAATCATTTATGATGGATATGACGAATATGGCAAAGGATATGGATATGACGGATATAGCAAAAGATATGGATACGGAGGAGTGATAAATGATGGATACGGAAAAGGATATGGTGGTCACGGCGGATATGGTGAACATACGAAAAACAATATGGCGGCTACTGTGGATACGGATATGGAGGCTATGGTGGCCATGGCGGATACGGAAAAGGATATAGAGAATATGGACACGGTGGATACGATGGGGGATATGGATATGGAAACAGCATCGGATATGGAAATGAATTTGTGTCAGGAAAAGGGAAAATAGGTAACATAAACTGTTTAATTTTTAATTGAAAATGTCATATAATCATGTTTATATATATCCATGATTAATACTCTTATTTTTTATATCCCTTTGTTGGAAGGCACTTTTATTATAAAAGCATTATCATGATACAAATATTTACTTTGTCCGCTGTGTATACAATTGACTTGTGTATTTTTTTAATTTCCTTTTTTGTACTAACACTGTTAACATGTCCTATAAACATTACACATTCAAGTTGAGTTTTTTTAAGATTCAAATATCTTTATGGTAAATTTATTTTGAGCCGTTTTAGTTGGGAAATGTTGTGCTTTTGTTATTTGGGCACATTTTTATTCTTTACATTGCAGGTGGTGGTTACTGAGGCCTGAGATTTCAATCCAGAGTTGTTTTCTGACAGAAAAAAACAACAACAATAAGACTCTAGAATACTCATTTAACAATAAACGAATCTACAAAGATTTTGGTCTATAATAGTTTAAACATACAATATAAAACCCGCTGCATTTTTATGCACTTGTCCTAAGTCAGGAGCCTGTTGTTCAGTGGTTGTCGTTTGTTGGTGTGGTTCATAAGTGTTTCTCGTTTCTTCTTTTTTTATATAGATTAGACCGTTGGTTTTCCTGTTTGAAATGTTTTACACTAATCTTTTTGTGGTCCTTTATAGCCTGCTGTTCGGTGTGAGCCAAGACTCCGTGTTGAAGGCCGTACTTTGACCTATAATTGTTTACTTTTTACACATTGTGGATGGATAGTTGTCTCAATGGCACTCATACCACATCTTCTTATTTAAATATGCACAAATATGCACGAACAAGTCATAACAAGTGAATTATTAGGCCACGAAACAAGATGTTAGCTTATTAATCCGTTTCCTAATAGTCTATAATAATAGGTCCTTATCATTGAAACGTTTGAAGCAGAATACTTGGCATTTCGGCAGCATTGAAGATTTGGTAGTCGAAAATTTTCATCCTGACATACTGAACATGTATTGAAATAAAAAAGCGTTTCCTGTGGGCAATACAAAAACAAAACAAACAGTAATATTTCCAACATGATACACTTTTTTATGGTAAAGTGACGTTTACCTGGACCGAATCTTCCGATTTTCCCAATTTTGTGGCAGTCTTCGTTTTGTATACCCCTCAGTCACAAGGCTATGCTATAAATTGTTACTTGTGTTTGTTATTGTAATGGTTCAAGATTAACAACCTGAATTTTATACAAATGTTTAAAATATGATATTGATATTTACACTTCCGCCATAAACAATCCTTTGCGTTATCTTTGAATGTTAAGGGTCGCAATAAATATCAGCTTATAATCCAAAATCATATTAGATTAAGCAAATGGATAAGTTAGGTATATGTCAATTAGACAGCAACCCAACGACACAAATAACATAAATACTTCTTGAGATCAGCACATGATCTTCAGCAACAAATACACCTCCTCTTTGGTCTCTTGTAAAATGCTCGCCTTGAGTGAATTCAATCCCAGGTCTGTTCAAACCAAAGAC